CAAATTCCTCCTTAAAATCCTTCTCTAGTAAAGCTTTTTGCTGTAACTCAACCGCTCCACCTTAAGCGCACACGCAAACGCAGGAGGCGTACAGCGAGGTTTCCGTTTCTCAGTTGGGCTCGGACCGCGGCTCACGAAAAGCACCGTGTGTAACGCAGCTGCAAGGTTGACGCACTAAGGTAAGAGGAAAGCAGAAAGCGAGCGAATCAACCGAACAAAAGGATGTCAGAATCCAAGTACCGTGAGTGGATCCTGGACACTATCGACTCGCTGCGGTCGCGGAAAGCCCGGCCGGACTTGGACAGGATTTGCCGAATGGTCCGGAGACGACACGGGTCCGAGCCAGAGCGAACCTGCGCGGAACTGGAGAAACTGATTCAGGAACAAGCCGTGTTGAAAGTTAACTACAAGGGCTCTATTTCATACCGAAACGCGGCCAAGGTTCAGCGGAGAAGCAGAAAAAAAGACGATGTAGCATTAACGGTGGCTGCGAGAAGGAGCGCTGTGGAAGAAGCCAGTCATTCTGACTTAAGCAACGGGGACAGCGCTTTCGGTCCTGTTGACCAGGACGAGGAGGATTTGGAGGTATGTCGAGGCTGATGCGAGGAGGCATGTTTAACAGCTCACATCTCATTATCGTCTCGTATCAAATTAACAGGTGGAGGGGAAAGCGAGGCACGGGCAGTGTGGTGTTGAAAATTACATGTCTTTTTGTCTGTACACGGGGAGTGGTGAGGGGAGTGATTTGCAAGTGCACCCAAAACTGCCGCAGACGGGGAGCGGCGGTTGGACCTCGCTCGAGCGCCACCAGTTTGGTGAAGGAAAGAAAGAAGGTGCGCGTGTAGTCGGTGTGGCATATTTTACATAGAATGGGTTGAAAATACTTGGAGCGGAAAGTGCAGACGAGCAAACTGAGGACAGGAAAAGTTGCACCGTCCTGTCCGCCCGCAACAGCCCGGTCGCGCCACCATTATCAGCAGCAGAAAGCGCTTTTAAGCCCCAAACTCGGCGTTTAGCGAAGGGGAGGGGGCTGCGTCAAGTCTAAGGAAATGAGTAGTCGAAGTCCGGAAGTTAAATAATTGTGCTTTTCAAAACAGCTGCGTCCAAATACGCGCTTACCGTGGAGACTTTTATTTTGAAATTCAGCTGTGGAAATAGGCCACATGTTTTTATTGTCAGTGATTTGTCAATGTGGGAGTGGGTGAAGGAAAAAAGTCTGAGACGCCGCGGATGTAGGAGCCTGGTGGAGGACGTTGGGACACTGTTCGGTTGTTTTCATTTATTTTATAGGGAAATACGAGGACAGCTTTTCACAGGAAAATGCCAAATGTCACCAGAGCCATGTCCACACACACATTTTGTCCGACCACGACTATATTTCACCCCTTCCGCCTGGACTTAAAAATATGCCCATCACTATGTTTTTTCCCGTAAGACTGCAAGCAAAGCGATGAATATCGATGCCAAAGTAGTTATAATAGACGTATATTCAGGTCATTTATGCAAACTGCGTCTATTGTTCGAGTGAGGGGCGATTGCCGACGCAGTACATAAAGTCAAACCCCTAGATCCATTGTCGGACACGCTGCCAAGCCCGATCACGTATTAGTGCGTGGTGCTGGCTGTTATGGCCTCTCTCGTCCCGTATAGCAATGGAATCATTTTCCTGTGTGTGTGTGTGCTATTTGTTGATAGTATTTTAAGACGAAACACAGCAACACAGCATTACAATGTAATGAAATGTAACGTAGGAGCCGGTAACAATGTGAGAACCGAACTAACGTAAACCGACCGCAAACTGTTCGTCCAGCGCTAGATGGCGAATGCGCCTGTCCGATTTGGGTTAAGCTGAGATCAAATTGACTTTGCTCTCTGAAAGGCGTGTGTGTCGCTCCAAAAGGGAATGCTTATCACTTTGAACAGACAGCCTCTCGGGGCTTGTTATCCAGGTTCTGCCCGAATACGAGGGTCAGATGTGGACAGTGACGTGTCCGATAACGGACTCATTTGCGTTACTCTTTCTGTTCTCCGCTTTTACTGTAAACCGTTGACCCGGTGCAAAGTCAAAGTAGGCTGTGATCGAGGTGACTGGTGTTCGCCTGGTCGCAGTGCTACGTTGATGTGCCCGTCGAGTTAAAAGCTCGGTTTTATTTCAGCTCTGCTTTGCCGGGGTTCGGCTCCGGTAAAGACCTCAGACACAATGGCGAGGTTTTCACCGCGGCTCCCCAACTCCATGCGCACTTTAGAGGAAATTTGAGAGAGAGAAAAGAAACGCCTCCCATCGGCCCTTTCTGTGCTCCCTTGTGTTAGAATGATCAATCTTAAGGCCTGCTAAGACAGGGACGCACGGAGCACTTCGTGCGCTGAGATGAAAATGACGTTGGATTGAGATTCACTGTAGCATCGATGTGTTTGTCTCCGTGAAAGTTAGCCTATATAGGTGAGCAATGCCATACGATCGGCGCCTTTCTCTGGAGCGGGGCGGGCTTTAGAGCGCTCTTGTCTTGTGCTCGACTGCTGGGTCGTGGACACGCAGTCGCACACAAATGTTCACTCACTGTCGACAAAGAAACCCAGCGGAAGGAATGAGTAGGCTTGTTAAAAACTATGCGTGTGCGATAGGATAACAGCCACTTTACAAGTGCTTCATTTCGTTGGCACGGCGCACAAGCTGTCTGCGGAGTGCGCGCTGCACCACGGAAAAGGGCAATAATTCACCCACCACAGCGGTCAAATTGCGACATCCCTATCTGTGTTTTCAGGTGACACGCTCAGTCTGCAATTAGTACTCATTCAGCAACGATCCCTTGTAGTCTTGCAGGGTTCACCAGTTTTTGAGTTGTCAGATAATGAATTACATTGTTTATAGTGGCTTTTCTTCCACTGAATTAAGATTAAAGCTTATTGTGCCCACTGGTCCAATCAAAGATTAAAAGATTAGTACATACTTGATAGTTTAATTCTTCACCCACCTTAAATGCTTTAAATATTAAAGCTGTAATATGTGACTTAAAGTAGCATGAAACTCCAGATCACTCCCTCTCCCTGCCCCACTCTGCTCTGTTACAGTCTGCTACACTTCACCACACTCTGCCCAGCGCTTCAGATATTTACTTATGAAATTACAGCAAATGCAACAAAACATACTGATAAAGCTGAAATAATTGACCATCTCTGATCACCTAGAGAGGTCAGTCCTGCATATCTCTGCACCGCTGCCTGTGCTGTTCAGTCTGGGTCACAGGTTTCGACAACACCTCTCCACATTGACACGTTTTGAAGCATATTTCTATGACATAAATAGCTGAAAAAGTAGCTGAAAATACTGTAGCTTGAAATAATGTTTTCTTTGTGTTAGAAATAACAATCATGAAATGAAATGATGTGTTGCACCTCGGGTTTTACAGGCTGACACCTCAGTGGCTATGGACACAGACAGCAATGCAGATGACGAGGGGGCTGATGAGAGCAGGGACGGGCCCTCTCCTGGCTGCACGTATGATGATGCCACAGTGCGTTCTGGCTCTGTGCGAGCCATCTCTGCCCCCTGCTCTCCATCTGGGCCTCGGCCTGGCCCCAGCCCTGGCTTGGGGCTGGACTGTGTTTCTTTTCAGAAGGCTGGTGAAAGGCCCAGCTCCTTGCCCCCCTCCAGCCCCAGGGCCCTGGCACACAACGACTGGGCTTATGATTCTGCTGTGTGCCCAGTGGAGCGCCAGCATCCAGGAATGCAGAGAGACAATGGTATCCACACTGCTAGACATAGTCGTTTAATATGCACACCCGGGGTTATGGAGCACTTTAAAAATGTTTTATGTGCCCGACTTCTGCTTAGCTTTTCACTGGATATGAAAAAGGGATGGGAATGTTTATCCACCTAGTTGATTAATTGTTGGGTGACATAATTGTTGACAGTGGAAATGCCTTAGTTTATGTAAGGTGCACACAGAGTTTGTCATGTTCCCATGACTTAGCGTTACCTTCTTTCAAGCACAACCAGCCTTAAGCTTGTTTGTAACAATTATTTAGGATTAACAGCATAAAAGCCACGCGCACACACATGAAAGAGCTTTAATTTTGCACTAGAATTCATTTAGGTGTTGACAGCATGGGTGATATTGGTGTGTGAGGTAAATGGTTCATTCTGTGTTAGCAGCAGCCATCAAACCAGCAGTCCACTCTGGAACTAGCAGTGCTTTAAAGAACAGTGGGAAGAAAGAGGTTGGAGACAAGGTGGAGGATAGTGGCCTTTCTTTGGACCAGTTGGTGCCAGACTATGCAGCACGACTGGTAATTGTGAAAAGCAGCATCACCTATATATCTTCTGCTTCTTTGATTTCTCTGCTTCACACCTGACATTTTCATGTCGCATGTGTTTGGGCAACAGGAAGAGACGAGGAATATATCTGATGGACGACCACAAACACTGTCTTTGCCATCTGACAACTGTGAGTTACACAGGTTTTCATTTTATAAAGCTGCTGTGTAACTTGTATCAGATTTGTAGAACAGAATGATCACTGGACTGCTTTCTCATCTTGGAAAATGGCTTCTAATTATAGGGACATGTTTACACTTGGCTCTTAGTGGTGTGTTCACATTATTGCACGCACCTTGCAGTTGTTGTGTATGTGATGTGCTGGGCAGGCTCTACGCAGATGTCTTCAGCCAAAGTTCATATTTGTTAAACTTTGACCCCAGGTGCGCTGACCTTTGTGTGTGCAGCCAATCATGGCTGACCACCGCTTGAACTGATGTGAAACTAGTTAGCCAAGTCATGTTTCCAAATTTCCCACGTCATTTTGTACAGCACCCCTTGGAGTTTCTACTTGAGTGTCAGCGCTGAACACACAGCGCAAGACCCACGTTTTTCCACTATAATGTGAGCGCACCCTAATAATTGAGAAAACATCTGGTTAATATTTTACAGTGTTTATTTGTCTCCTAATAAGCAAAGTAACATGAACATTTCAGTGGGTGAAGTTTTCATCCACTTCATCAGAGACTCTGAGTTTAATTCCTTGTGGAGGTTATGTTCTTTTATGCTCTGAGCAAATTATTGATGTGGCATTACAGAAACAAAGAGCATTATAAAGTGTTGTATCACTGGCCAAGTATTATATTGCTGTAATATGTCCCATGCATGACAATGGTCCTTCCAGCATCCTGTAACAGTGGACTAGTATAGGAACACTCATTCACTGTACCTTTACTGAACTGAACTGTGAACAAACTAATGGAAAAACATCCTCTACTGAGGCTGTGGCGTACTAGTACTAAGATTAAATGTATCGCTTTTATTTCATCACAACTCTACTGCTGTTTATTTAATATCAAAGATATGAAGCTGCACATTGAGCCCCAGAAAAAAAGAAAATATTTGTGTTCCTTGGAACAGTTTCATTTGAAATATTACAGACAGAAAACAGACACTGATTAAGTTTCTTTAAGAGCCTGCCATTATATCCATTAAATATGCAGTGCGTAAAAAAAATAGTTAATTGTGATAAAATATTGAAAACGTTTACCATAATTTAGCTGCTGTTTTGTTCACAGGTACATATAAGAAGAAGACAGATGTATCATCCTTCACAGCAGCTGAAGATGGTCTTCTGAATGGTAGTAAAGGTGATGAAATGTGAGTATCCTGTTTTTAAATAAATACATTCTGCACCAGAAATGCATTTTGGATTATACTCCCCCCCCCCCTTCTGCAGTGGCTCAGTACAGCTTTATCATCCTTTACCCTTCATTTTCTCTCTTACATACAACATGTACATACCTGTAAGGGACAGTCCTTGAAATAATTACAGTTACCTTCACAGAAGCCCACTTAAAGGCCTGTAAAGAGAAGTTAGCTGCTTGATGGAAACTCATGGTCATTGTTTCTGAATTATTTTCTTCTGATCTTCCTCCAGCACCGTGAAGAAGGAGAATATGAGCCAGAACCTGCTGCAGTGGACTGTGGCAGATGTGGCCAGTTACTTCTCAGCTGCAGGTTTTCCAGAGCAGGCTGTGGCGTTTCGAACACAGGTTAGTGCACCCCCGCATCCCTGCCGCAGGGGGCACTACATGTCCACTGGAACCAAGCTCACATCCCATCAGCCAGTGCATTTTAGCGGTGTGTAGTATTGTGTGCATTGACCAGTATCAGTTCATTGAAAGAAGACAGTCTGGTCCCGTTTAGACTTGGTATTAAAAGACACCTTGGGGATCTGAACACAAGTGGACAGCCAAGACACATCACCGTTTGTGCGCGTCAATATATATGCATGTCCCAGGTGTCCAGCTGACCACTTGCGTTCAGATAATAATAATAATAATAAAACTTTATTTATATAGCACTTTACAACCCGCAAAAGGAGCATAAAGTGCTTCACAGAACACATAAAAAAAAACATAACTAGCATAACAGACCTTAAAAACAACAAGAAAAGGACATATCGACAAGATGGATGATAAAACAGCAGCAAAAGAGATATCCGGATTAGTTGTCAAAGGCCTGGCTAAAAAGGTGCGTTTTTAGAGCTGCCTTAAAAGGGGCCAACTAAAAGAGCGATCTCCCCATTTTTTGTAACAAGAGTGGGGGGTGACTAGAGATAGGTGTTCGGCAGAGCATAGGGCTCTATAGGGAGAGTAGACAGACACAGGGTCCAAAAGATACAGTATGAGGGGGCGAGGCCATTAATAGATTTAAAAACAAGAGCACTTTAAAATCAATTCCAAATTTCACTGGAAGCCAGTGCAATGAGAAGAGAACAGGAGTGATGTGAGCATACCTAGGAGTACATGACAGGAGCTGAGCCGCAGCATTCTGTACAAGTTGTAGCTTCCTGCAAGATACCGACGTGAAGGGCATTGCAGTAGTCAAGTCTGGATGTAATAAAAGCATGAATAGCTTTTTCTAACTCTGCATGAGATAAGAAGGGCTTCACTTTTACCAGCATCCTCAAATGAAAGAAGCTAGTTTAAACTACGGAGCAGATGTGTTTATCAAAGTTAAAACTGCTGTCAAATATTACCCCAAGGTTTTTAACAGTATCAGTGACTGAAGGGGCCAAGGCACCTAGTTTGAGTATCAGGGTGGCCAAATCTGGACTGAAAGCGATGTACTCGGACTTGCTCTCGTTTAAGTGAAGAAAATTTTGTGTGAGCCAATTTTTGAAGTCGGAAATATAGTTATGAAGGGGCATTGGAGTCACATTGAATCAGAGGCATATAAATCTGGACATCATCTGCATAAAAATGGAAATGCACATTATGCCTTGATATAATTGAGCCAAGTGGTAACATATACAAAGAAAAGAGTAGCGGAGCCAAAATCGAGCCTTGAGGGACTCCTGAGGTAAGGGGTGCCACTGTAGAGGAAAACTCCCCAATGGTGACAGAAAAGGTCCTGTTGGTCAGAAAGGAAGTGAACCAGCTCAGAGCCGGGCCTTTTAGGCCAGCATAATGTTCTAGGCGGGAGATCAGGACCGTGGATCAACTGTGTCAAAGGCTGCTGATAGATCTAGCGAGGCTAAAATGACAGGCTGCTTAGCATCAAGGGCCAAAGCAATGTCATTGTGGACCTTCAGCAGAGCAGATTCCGTGCTATGGTGGGGCTTAAAGTCTGATTGAAATTTGTCACCAATATTAAGCCGATCTAAATGAGATTGCAGTTGAGTAAGAACAATCTTTTCCATGACCTTAGATAGGAAAGGTAAGAGGGAAATCGGGCGGAAATTAGATAAAAGAGAGGGATCGAGGTTGGACTTTTTTAGAAGTGGTCTCACTACCGCATGCTTGAGAGAGTCTGGAACCATGCCCATTTCACTAATGCGTAAAAATCAAAAGGCCACAGGTATAATTATTACTTGAGTCTGTTACCAGACAAGCACCAGTGGTCTCCCTAACCAGAAGAAGAAGACGATAAACGTCGGATCAGCATGGATGTATCATGAAAGCTTTCACAAGACATTGATGGATTTTTATTGGACATTTCTCTGCATTTTTCTTTTCTTGAGCACTGGTGTGTTCTCGCCAAAACAAACACCACGTCCTGCATCGATGACGTAGTTTCCTTGTCTTGGTCTTGTCGGAGACACATCAGGATGCATTAGTGTTTACACTACAAAAGATATGTGGTCAAATCTGTCCCAGACCGTCTCGACAAGTGGCTTCGGTGAGCTTGTCACAGTCCCTCTGGGTGGTCGTTATACTGTTGACTTGTGATCTGATCACCCAGGGCGCATTTTAAAACCACGTCTAAACAGAGTTTCTGTCTTGACATGATTAGGAAAATTTCCAGACTTCTCACTTGAAATACAAAGTGTAAGTATAGTGTTTCAATAGCTAATTCCAGTTTGGTGGCTCATTATAGATACAGTTTAAAGAAATTAAGCATTCACAACATTCATTAAGAAACCTTGTGGTGCTGCTAACTGAGCAAAATTCTTTTTCTCTCTAATCAGGAAATTGATGGGAAGTCCCTTCTCTTAATGCAGCGCAGTGACGTTTTGACCGGTTTGTCTATCCGACTTGGCCCTGCCCTCAAGATCTACGAGCGTCATGTAAAGGTGCTGCAGAGAACTCACTTCCTGGAATGCGAAGACCTCTGAAGTGCTGATTCACATGACAGACAGATGATGCTGCATTGACCCAAACATGCATGCAGTGCCCTCTCCCATCTGGATCCTGCCACCTGCCTTCATATACATAAAATATAGAGGGTGAGTGGAGCAGGAAAGGCTGCAGTGGAATTAACTTTCACTGTGAGAATGACCAGAAACTGACAGATAAGTCATCCTACCTCTCATTACAGTCTTTGGTTTTCAAGTGGTTTAAATTTAACCCATGTGACCACACTAAAGGGAACAGACTGCTACAATCAGAGTATGTTTTAAAATGGAGTAGCAGTGATTTCTTTGAGAGTAAGAGATGGATAATTCAGCCAGGGCTGAACTCTGTTCCAGGTGGACCACCTATGGGCTAATGTACCCACGCAGACATGACTGCGTAGTGCTGTGAGTAAAGTGCTGTCACAGTTTTGGGTCCACAAGTCAGTTTTTCTGTTAGTCCAGTTTGTGAGTCACACAGATAAAGCACATCTGATGTGCGTTTTCCTTTTCTCGTGTGATGAGTTGATTTAAATGTCATCAAAGTGCCGGGGAAGTCAGACTATATATGTCTCCATCAAATGTCAACAAGCCCTACTTCCTGACTTATCATGCCACCAATAGCTGCTGATGTTGGATCATGTCTTCAGTGTCTCTGTAACACTGAGGTACTGTATAACCAATGCTATGTACTAGTACTTGCTGGCAAGGCAATACTTTGCGTTTTTGTTGATATTTAGAAATGGCTGTGGTTAAACTTAATACGGTTACATTTGCAGACAGATATGACCAGCAAAATATTAAACTTGTGAGAAATGTCACAGTCATACTGGTTATATGTTTAAAATTCAATACAGCTGTTTAATTCCTGTTTACAGATCAGATATCTTGATCAAATGCAATATTTTATGTTGTCATCCTTTTATAATTTATCCAGTGTCTCTTTGTGTTAGGATTTAAGCCAGCCACTTGAATTGTAACATTCCATATGATGTAGTCTTCGCCTCCTGTGTACCTCCTCCCCTTTTTATCTGTATACCAGGGTCACAAATAAAGCTTGTGTCTCTCTGCTCAAACACTCATTCTGTGATGCAGGTTATTACCTTCATAGTTTACTTAAAAGAAATTGATTCAGTGGGTTCTTGTCTGATGGCCCTCTGGCCTCAGTACTGAAAACAAACTTTCCAGTGCATATGAAATTCCTGCTCAACACTGAATGTTTT